AGTGTCTGCTTACTATTCTTAAGACATTACAGTTTAAAAAAATGGATGTTTTAATGCATCTTCAACTTTAATTCTTTATTTAGGATGTAAACAAAGCAATTTTGATAATAAATCTTCTGCATTATCATCAAAACCTTCCATATTTATTATCTATTTCCATTTAATTGGTTTAGTTGCTGTCACTGATGGTAATTTTAAATCATATTCTTTATTTATTATAAAATCGTACCAAATAAATCACAAATTTATCTCACTTATTCAGAACCAAATAAACTTGCTAATTCCAATATAAAATTAACATAAAAAAAATTCTTAGTTGCAACTGGTTTATTTATCATTCTAACATTACTAAATAAATTATATTTCTTAGTTAAGAATTATAAAAATATAACTCCTACTGCCCACATATCAACTTCATAAGATTAATCCTATTTATACTTAAATTTATATTATACATGATAATGTAATATACTTTCTAATGGCATAAAACTTTCTGTTCCAATCTTATTTTATCCAATTTAATCTATTGTTTTCTATATTTCATTATATAAATTAATTTTCCTTCTAATTTCTTATACTTCATCTGATTAAGGATTCTTATGAATATATTTTAATAAATTCTTACTTTCTTAGACAAATCTTTTTCTTTTTCTATTAATTTTGCTACAAATGATCTATCTATCTCACTAAGACCATAATCTATCAAAATTCCCTTACAGGTTTTAGGGTTGTAAAGAAAGTTACCAGGTTTTACATCTCGATGATAGATGCCATTTTATTTTAAAAGATTCAATGCCTTTAATAATTCATAAAGATATTTTCTTATTTGCATCATATCAAAAGTAGCAAAAAATGTCTTATTTAACTTAAATATTTACTATGAATGGTTTAAATGTAAAATATTCTATTACAATGTATATTTTTTGATCCTTCAAAAATAAATTCACTAACTGAGGCATATTCTCTTTACCATAAACTAATTTTAAAAATCCAATCTCTGCAAAAATCAATTCTGGAGACACAGTTGAAAAATTAACCTTTATAGCATATTTTTTTGTTTTATCAACTTGACCCTAATTCAATCCTAGACTATATTTTATTATCATTTTCATACGCTTTATATACAACTCCATAACCACCTCTTCCCATTTCTCTTACAACTTTATAATTTTACTTAAGGTAGACCTCCTCATCTATTGACTAATCCATATAATAACGATCATTAGAACAAGGAGTCACTTTAACTTTTGTGCTTGAAGATTTTTTATTATTTTTTTTCATTAATTATAGATTAAATAAATCATTAATATTTATCTTCTAAACTCATATCCCCTGAGTTTAGATGATAAAATCTAATTTGTGATTTTGGTTTATTCACTAATTATGATAATCCTGCATTAGTACTAGCAAGTTATGATAATTTATTAATTTCAAAATCTCTATCTTTTATAGCAGTTTATAGTTGATCAACTGCCTTAAGTAGATATTTAATTTTTTCACTATCACTTATCTTTTATCCAGGAGGATTACCTTAAATTTTTAATTAAATATATGTACCTTATGGTTAAATTTAACTTATCAATACTGATTAAGGTAATTAACTAATATTTGATTATTATTGCATTTATTAAGACATTAATTCATTGTTTTCTTTTAATAATTTATTCTCTCTTTTTAATTATTCATTTTCTTTTTTTAACTCATCCCTCTCTTTTTGCATTTGTTAACATAAATCTAATTTATATTCTATTTATTTTCTTATATCATCATCAAATCTTATAATATTTCCATTTTCCATCTATAATTTAAGTTCATTTAATTCTCTGTTCATGTTTTTTAATGATTCTTACAAAACAAAATTCTAAGCTCTCAATTCACTAACTTGGTTATTCTTTTCAAACATAGTTAATTAAGTTTAATTCATTAGATTCTATTTATGAGTAGTTATCAATAATTCTGCATTTTATAATTGCAATTATAAAGTATTAACTTAATTTTTCAGTTAATCAATAATTGATTCATAATTCATTCTTTCAGCCTTATATTATTCGTCATATAATTATTTAAAATTGTCAATTTCTTATTTGATTTAATTCTAAATAATATTTTATTGAATTTTACAGAAAATTTTAATTCAGCATCTTCTATTGTATAACCATGCATATCACGTAATACATCAATTTAAGCTTCTAATTCTTTTTTTTCTTATAGTTTTTAATCCAATAAATTAGAGTAATTAACTCTAAGTACATCTAAATCTATTTTCAATACTTCATAAGCATTTTTGATTTCTAATAATTCATTTATTTAATCTGATTGTTCTTTAACAACTTTCTAGAGTTATTAATACTCATAAATATATTTTAATTTTTCTTCTTTAACAACTTTTAAGGCTTAATCCAAATGGTAAGTTTATTATAAACTTTTCTATAATTCTTCTGTTTTAGTTATAAATTATTATTTGCCTGCTTAAATTTCTTGATCTTTAATTTCAATAATTTAATTAGTTTACTCTAATTCATTTAAGATTTTATTTAGATTTTGAGTTAGTTCCTACAATAATATTAAAATTAAATACTTATTTCTAAAGTGTTAATTTCTAAACTTAAAATGCATATTCTTCAGATTCAATACTTTTCTACTTTAATCTATCACATAAATTATCATATTCTTAATTTAACTAAATATATTATATAAACTTTACAATTTAATTAGATTATTCCATTTCTTGTAATTAATTTTATAAATCTCTATTATGTTCCTTAAGAACTTCCATTTCTTATGAAGCTGTTCCAAGAACATCAGTAAGTTTTTCTACTTCATTTGTAAGTATATTGACTCTACTATAACACATATTATGAATATCTGTAGATGTTGAATCATCAAGTCTTGAAGTTTTAAGTTAATGAATGTTACTTAATTTCATATATTTTTTATTTATTTTTATTTTGTTTAATTAATTTAGTTTATTTTTATTTTAAATGAATTACTCTTATTAATTTAATAAATTTATGAAATAAATTCATTTAAATTTTGATTATATTAAAAATATAAAAATATATAAACTCAAAAATAATTACCAATTCCATCATCCCAAGTATTTAGTAAATTGTTATATTTATATTTATTAGGATGATAACCTTAATTTTTACTCATTAATATTTCACTCTAATATATGAACCATTCCCAAAATTTCATCTTTATCCATCTTAAAGGAGTTCCTGTTTTCTTGTAATCAATTTATCTAGTCCTTAGTTTAGTTTCATTATATATATCCATAAACATTTTTATTTCATTTTCATCCTCTGTAAGTATGTTAAATTCATGATTTAATTTCCAACTCCATCTATCATTATTAAATGATCCATAAAATAGTTAATTATTATCAAATACATATCCTTTCATATGTAATAATTATTCAGGGAATTCATAAACTTTAAGATTTCTATGAATAACACCTTAAAATAATATTCGATTGAATGCATATCTATATACAGGCTAATCCCTTTTATCTGCTGTTATAATTTCTACCTTTACTCCTCTATCCATTGCTTCACGTAAATACTTTTCAAATATTCTAACAGAATAATAATAAGCTTAAACTATTTTAATATTATCTTTAGCATTTTTTATTGATTCAATAATTTAAGTTTAAATTTACCTATTAAATGGAGGATGTGTTTTAAAGAATTCATAATAAGGAGGGAATGCATTAAATGTATAAAGTAAATCCTCATTAGGTGTAGGTTTATGAGGATTCAATTAAATTTTATATAAACTAGCTAAATACATAAAATGTTTTTAAAGATTATATGATAAATGTCTACCTTCTGTATAAGTGTTAATATCATGAAATGTCTGTTTGCCCCATTTAACACCACCATAATGAGATTCTATGTTAGATGTACCAAATATTGCTTTATGATCAGCTACTGCCATTTTTTCATGATGTCTACGAAAGAACTCTTATCCATATATTTTAAAAGCACTTAAAGGATTCAAATTCAAAAACACTCCTCCATAAGATTAAAATAATTTAGTTAATTTGTTATTATAATGTCCTTAAAGATCATCCACAAATAAAACTACATTAACACCTCTTTATTATGCATTAATTAATTTATAAAGAGTTATATTGGCTGCTAAACTCTTGTCCATAGCATAAGTCAAAATCCAACAATATGTTTTTGATTCGTCAATCATTTACCATAATTTCTCTATAATCATCATTATTTATACGATAAAATTCATCTCCATCTGTAAACAATCTTAAATGAGGAAATTAATATTCTTATATTTCAGGTGACAATTATTGCAATGTTTTCAATGCATTGTCATAGAATTCTTAATTTAACATTATTCTGAAATTTTAAATAAATATAAATTAAAATATTAAATTAAGAAATAATATCAATATAAAATTATGAATAAAATAATTGAAATCACATGTATCCTTACATTTATTTTTAATTATCAATATCATGACAAATTGATCAAAGACAATTTTCTATTTTATTTCTTTCATTAATTTAGATAATTATAGTATATGTTTGTTTTCATGATTAATTATATGTATTTAAATTTATTAATTTTGTATAACATGAAAGATATAATAAAATATAAATACCTTAAATATTTATAGATTATGAGAAATGAAAACATCAAAATTGGATTTTTATATTTAATTCTATTGAAAATTCAAAAAAGTTACTAAAGATAAAAGTGAATTGTAAATAGAAGAAATACTTTGATTATATTATAACATTAGATTTATGATTGTTTGATTTTGAATTACTTAAAAATCTTGAAATAACCATTTTCATTAAGATTACTACTTTAAATAAATAATTTTTCTTGTATTCATTTAAAGTGAATTAATTATAATTTACTATTTAATCATTTTCTTTTTAGATGTTAGTTTAACATATGAATAGCATTTTTAATATTAAATGATTAAATCAGTTACTCAAACATATTTCTAATGATAAAGAATAAGAAAATCNTAAATCCTCATTAGGTGTAGGTTTATGAGGATTCAATTAAATTTTATATAAACTAGCTAAATACATAAAATGTTTTTAAAGATTATATGATAAATGTCTACCTTCTGTATAAGTGTTAATATCATGAAATGTCTGTTTGCCCCATTTAACACCACCATAATGAGATTCTATGTTAGATGTACCAAATATTGCTTTATGATCAGCTACTGCCATTTTTTCATGATGTCTACGAAAGAACTCTTATCCATATATTTTAAAAGCACTTAAAGGATTCAAATTCAAAAACACTCCTCCATAAGATTAAAATAATTTAGTTAATTTGTTATTATAATGTCCTTAAAGATCATCCACAAATAAAACTACATTAACACCTCTTTATTATGCATTAATTAATTTATAAAGAGTTATATTGGCTGCTAAACTCTTGTCCATAGCATAAGTCAAAATCCAACAATATGTTTTTGATTCGTCAATCATTTACCATAATTTCTCTATAATCATCATTATTTATACGATAAAATTCATCTCCATCTGTAAACAATCTTAAATGAGGAAATTAATATTCTTATATTTCAGGTGACAATTATTGCAATGTTTTCAATGCATTGTCATAGAATTCTTAATTTAACATTATTCTGAAATTTTAAATAAATATAAATTAAAATATTAAATTAAGAAATAATATCAATATAAAATTATGAATAAAATAATTGAAATCACATGTATCCTTACATTTATTTTTAATTATCAATATCATGACAAATTGATCAAAGACAATTTTCTATTTTATTTCTTTCATTAATTTAGATAATTATAGTATATGTTTGTTTTCATGATTAATTATATGTATTTAAATTTATTAATTTTGTATAACATGAAAGATATAATAAAATATAAATACCTTAAATATTTATAGATTATGAGAAATGAAAACATCAAAATTGGATTTTTATATTTAATTCTATTGAAAATTCAAAAAAGTTACTAAAGATAAAAGTGAATTGTAAATAGAAGAAATACTTTGATTATATTATAACATTAGATTTATGATTGTTTGATTTTGAATTACTTAAAAATCTTGAAATAACCATTTTCATTAAGATTACTACTTTAAATAAATAATTTTTCTTGTATTCATTTAAAGTGAATTAATTATAATTTACTATTTAATCATTTTCTTTTTAGATGTTAGTTTAACATATGAATAGCATTTTTAATATTAAATGATTAAATCAGTTACTCAAACATATTTCTAATGATAAAGAATAAGAAAATCTTAAATATCAATCTAAGTAATTAATTCTAAGGTTGTAACAGTATGAGTAACAATAAAAAATTATTTGGATTGTAATTTAATTACTAAAAAGATGTATAAAATTCTTAAAATTTTTCATATATAAAAATTCTATTAATAAATTAAGTTAATTTTTATTATTGTGTATTTTTTTATTAGATATTTCTTTAATTTTTAAAGATTTCATCTCTCTTTCTAGTATTCAAAGGTAAGATTATAAAATAAATATGGATTAATTTTTGATATATTTTATATATCCATTTAGATTATTATATACTTTGAATTTTGTTTTGATTAACTACAATTAAAATAGTTAATACTATAAATGAATGAGAATATATAATATTTTTATATATATTCTATGGAGATAGTAAATTATTCACTTTGTATACTTATTTTTTATATTAATGAAAATAACAATCACAGATTTGAAAAATTTATGTAAATTTAGTTTAGCAAGTGGAAATGCAGTGATCCCTTTCATATCATATATGTATTTGGGAGATGACAACTTAGTCTCATTGAAGTCTTTTTCGGTTTTTTCGGGATCACTCTTTATGGTATTTAGATGTATTATTATGAACAGGCTATGGCAAGTTAAGCTTTTAATTAAGTAATTGAATGGAAGCAAGATAAAGTTATGACACGTACATGTAATCGTCCAATTCCAATCCAACGACTTACTCGTTTTTAAGGAGGATTGATAGGATTTGCATTTTATGCAGCTTCTAATATCCTGATGTATAATGTATATTTATTAGTGATTTAGTGTTTGCCAACCAATGCCTTATTAATTAACAATTTTATTTTCTTCTCTTACTTGGGAATCTATACAACTTTGAAAACAAGATCTCCTATTAATACATTAATTGGAGCAGTAATAGGAGCTCTTCCAGTATTATTAGGAGCTGCTTGTGTAAATAATGATAGTTTGTATAATTTGGGAATGTGGGGTAATTTTGGATTCATGTTTTCATGGTAAATCAATCATTTCTATGGAATATATTGGAAATATCAGAAGGATTATTTAAGAGCTGGATTTAAAATGGTAAATGACAGTGCAGTTGCTAGTAGACATATGAAAATATGTTTAGCCATTAATGGGTTGAGTTGGTTTGGAACTGCATCTCAGCATTCTTAGCCAGAATTAAAATTTATCAGTTGTATCTCGGGATTATTGTCATTATACTTTTGGAATTATAGAGCAATAAAATTATTTGAAGTAGATCCATCAAAAAATGTATGAAAAACAAACTTATTAGTTAGGCAAACTATCTTAAAAAAGCCTCCTACAATTTTTTCTTGGTCTACTATACTTTATTATTAATCGATATAGGAATCAAGAGATATTAATAATAATAAAAACATTGAAAAAACCATTATAAAATAATTAATATGATGAATAATTCATTTTCTTAGTGTTTTTTGACATATAACAAAGGCCTCATGGTATTGTTTTAAGTCGTTCTTCATCTAATGATAATCAAAGTTTTGATGGTCACATTCATCTTACATATATTTTGTAAACACTAAATCAAACAACTATTTTACCATGATGCTATTAATATGAGGACTTCTTGGCATTAGGATCCGATTATTACATTTAATGTAAATCATTAATATGATCATATTGAATACGTGCCTTCATGTTTCTTTCATGTTCCTTTTATGCCTTATGTACCTCTTAACTAATAGGTATAACTGTTTACCATCAACAGGCAATTTTCCTCCTGACTATTTTATTGTTTTTATTTTTTGCATTTTCTATTCCTAAATCTACATCATCTATTTAGTTGCAGACAGATTTGTATGAGCTTTATCGAATCCCAGATGAGTGGACCCAGTTATTGGCAATACTTTATCACTACGTTCAAAAGGTAATGGTTCTTGTGGATCATTAGCATGTCGTTTCTTGTATTCCTCCTCACTTAAAATTGCAGGGATCTTATCTGGGTCATGTCCTTATTCCTATTTAAAGGAAATTAAATAAGTCAATTAACTATACCTCTAATTTATCAAATTCAGAATTGTATTTATTTGCTCTCTGTTGATAGATTTTCAATTTGACAGCTTTATCAAGGTGTGCTCCAATCCCTTTACTCATTTATTATAAATATTTATATTATTATTATTTAAAAATCTAACGTTACATATGACAGATGAGAATATTTGATAATAAACTATTTCAATTCATTCACTAATAAATATAAGAACCTGCTTTATATTTTTTGTTGATCCATTCGAAATGAATAATTTAAAACACAATAATAAAATTCCTTAATCTAGCATATTAATACAATTACTTAAACTAAGAAAAAACCCTCATTGAATCAAAATAGATAGATTAAAATATTATAGTAAAAATCTAGATAAAAAAGTAAAGATTTGCACATCAAGCATTATATTTATTTTTAATCTAAGGTTCTGTATTTAAAGAATTCAAAAATTTAACTATTATTCCACCAAAAATAAACAAAAGTCTTAATACATTCATATCAACAATCATATTAAATTTACTAAGAATCAAAGTTTTTATAACAACTATTCTTTTATAATATGATCAATATTAATTATTAATATTAAATGTCTCAAAAATTTAAGTCCCCTATTATTGTATCCAAAGTCCAACCAAAAGTACTCTACAACACTCAAGAGTATAAAAGAACTCATATCTTAGTCTCAATGCTAAAGTCATCAAAGTCTTTAGTCCCTTTGAATATATGCATTATATTAAGAGAAGACAAGATTATTTAAACAAGTAATAGGAGCTTATTGCCAACCTACAATTAAGCAAAGAAAATTATGATAAATTGACATTTTCAGTTAAATAGATAGGAGTTACAGATGATGAAGGCAGAGTTGGTTCACTAAGCTAAAGAAAATATTTACTAAAATCTATGGAATCAACTAGAGTCTAAAAATCAGAATCTATCTAACAATCATAAACTGATAGAATTTAATATTAATTCAGGGCAAAAGCATTACCAAGTAGTCGAAGAGAAAAAACTCGAAAATCTCAATAATAATCTAATATTAATTTCTTAACACTTCCAGAAAGATCAGAAACACATATTGAATTTAAGACAAGCGCAATTGATAAGATAATCAAAAGATCAAGATAAAAAAAACGATTTCCGCTAAGTCAACCTTAACCACCAGAAGTTGCATTTCCTAAATAATACCAAAATTCAAAATATTTATCATATAGTCGCTAGTTATAAGAACTATAAGGAACATTGGAATTCAATAAATTGTTATGATTACTATATTAAAATTTTCACTTTGGTCTCAATTATGGAGGTATTCTTCTTGGAGTAGGTGGATTTTATGGTTTTCTTATGACAGGAGGTTATTCTACAGTAAATGGATTTGTTTAGGATTGATTCATAGATTCTTATGGTTATGCGATTATTGTATTTTATGTATTATCTTCTTGTTCTTTAAATTACATTTAAGTATTATTTTATAAATTTTCTTCATTTTATGATTATTATTATTATTATTATTATTATTATTATTATTATTCATGCTACTATACTTATTTTTATTAAGATTATTCCTCTTATAATTATAATTTATCTATTTTTTATTAATCTTATCCTTCTTATGCTTCTGATCCTTATCTTACTTCTTAATTCTCTACTTATTTCTAAGATGTAGCAGTTTGAGATTTGATAGATTTCACTGATAATTATGAAGAAGTGGAATTAGTTTTTTTAGTCAAAATATCAAATACTTATGATTATAAATCAGATAGTGCTAGATGATTTAAAATTATTTGATACTTGTACGCAACTAATTATGTTCCTTAGCCAATTTATCAAATGCTTATTGCATTGTTACTAATTTTTCATTCAATTATTATATCACTTTTGTTTAGTTACTTATTAGTTCTTATTAATTAGATGTGTTTGTATTTGAATTATTATTAGGGATTTTAAATTTCACAACCTAGATGAAATTTTTAATCATACATTGAATTTTGCAGGATGTTTAGTTTCACAATTAAAAAGACATTTTAGAGCAAGAAGTAGAACAATTAGAATGATATAGCCACCTACACCATACTCAATAAATGGATAGCCAGAAAAGTACAATTTTTATGTCTCCTGTACCCAAGATTCCATTTTAACACGTAAATTAAATTACTAATCATATTAATTATTATGATGGAATATCTTCAGGTTCTTTGATAGAGGGTTAAGGAGTTGAGTGTTTGATTTGGATTGCATAAGATGCAGGAGGTACTTGTAATTTATTCTCATGGCTTTATTGACACAATTATAGCATTTTGTATTTGAATCTTCCAATGACTACTTGTTCATCTGAGATATGTTTTCTTATTTCACCATCAATTTCATCTGAAATTCTAGCAATTATATTATCTTTTAATGGATGAGTGTTTATATGAGAATAACTCTCACAATATATTACTTCTCCTACTTAAAACTATGATATGAAATCATACAATTACTTCTTCATTTTATTTAATCTTTTCAATGACCATATAAATAGATGTAAAATCTTAACAATTGAATCCAATAATATTTTCCAGAAATTCATTATATTCTAATGGTTTACTTTTGCATAAACATTTTTAATCTGAAAATATAGAGCATTAATAAGTAGGAGTGTTTTTACTCATAAATGAAGAATGTTTTACTCCAAACAATTCCATCTCTTATATTATAAGCATCATAAATTTAGTTTGTTTATTTATGGTTGATAAGAATTTGAAATTGCCAAATTTAGTCTTGTTAAATTTGTTATTGGTCAATTTATTGAGTATATTAAATGTTTTTTGATCATATTATTCAATAAGTTTTGTAGTATGATATTTTTGCATTAAGACAACATCACTCAAATGCTTTTTATACTCTTTATCATGCTTTTTAGCATCAATAACAGGAGGTAAATTAGTAATTCTATTAGCTAGACTACGATTTTCTTCACTTATACGCTTAGTATCAAAATTTATTTTAGCATATTCTTTTCTTGATTAATTATGTTAAGATCGTGTTTTGCTAGTTTGAGGCTACATTATTTTAAAAATTAGATGTTAATTCACTCTTTATTATTCAAGAAAAGCTTCTTGATTATAGAATTTAGAAACTGTTTTAATCATATTATGCTTCTCCTATAATTTCTTCATTATTTTTTAATCTTCCAATTTAGGATACTACAATAATTTTTAATCATCTACCTATTAATTTATTTCCTCTAATTTCTTTTTATGAAAATCATAGATACGACCTTTATTTTTCTCCTAATAGATGTCTTTAACTATATAATTATTATTTTTCATATAAAATTAATTTTTAAGTTTATTAAAGTATTATGTATGTTTATAATTAACATCTAATCAATCATTCTCAACTAATATGACAATAGATAATTATAAGTATTAAAGCAAAATTTGATTCAGTAACTCAAGTAATTTCATAGAAAATTATCAACCAATTATTTTAATATTATTAAAAAATATAATGTAAACCCCAACACGTATCATTGACGGTTTATTTATAGGAGATTAAAGTGCTGCACATGTAATTGATACTTTATAAAATATAAGGATTTAGAATTTTTGATAACTAATAAAATTACAAAAGTAATTAATTGCGCTGGAAAGTAAATACCAAATCATTGGGAATCAATTGGTATAGAATACTTGACTTATGGTTGGATTGAAAGTGATAATCAATATGCAATTGACCATTCTCGTTGTTTTTCATTTATAAATGATAACTTAGAAGCAGGAGAGGCTGTTTTAGTTCATTCAATTAAAGCTCTCAATCGTTCTGTTTTTGTGATTGCTGTATTTTTGATGAGAAAGTATTATCATATTATTTATAGAATCTAGATTTAAATGGACCTTATAAAAAACTCTTTAGTATGTGTAGAACTTGAAAAATAATAATGATATCAAATAAAATGTGATGTAGCAACTGGTGAATTTTGAAAAATGGTTACATATTAGTAAACTAAGTAACAATTGGGATTCTACATAAAATTAAGATGAAGTTGTTGCAAGAAATACTTATCTAAATAGTTAAAAACCTTAAGAATGTGAACCAAGACAAAAAAAGGAAGTAGGTTCTAAAAAAGTATAATGGAATAAAATCATCATATCCCAATACATTCCTCCTTATTATTAAATGTAATTCCTTTTTGCTATGTTTAAGCTAATTTAAAAATCTATCAAAATCTGAACCTGAACCTCTAAATTAAGTTTAAAATTAAAATATTTAACTTACAAAAAAACTTAGAAGACAAACAACTGATAATTGGATGACTAAGAAACTACCTTTGAATTAAGTTATAGATGAAAAAAAGATAAATCTGTTTAGCATTAAATCTGATAGACAATAAATAAAACCATTATTAAGACCAGGAACTGCTCCATAAAAAAGACTTGTCAAAAATAAATGGCAATCATAATCCCATAGAGTCTTAGTTAAATAGGCATGATTAAAATATAAACAATCTTTTTTATATACTCAAGCTTATTTTCTATTAACTTTTGGAGTACTTAAAGGCACTACATTAAAGAATAAGTCTGGTCTTAAGTCTTAAGGAATTTACTAAAGAATAATTAATATTTGTTACATTTTTTAATGGTTTTTTTTCAAATTATATTGCTTATCCTGTACTAAAGATATTTTATTAAGGTGCTTATTTATATCCTTTAGTAGCTTTATTGGTACTTTTTTTAATTGTCCTTTCCTCTTCTTCTACTCTTATTCTTGTTTCTACCATGATATCTTTAAATAAATCATAATCAAATAATGATGCTAAAGTTTCATTTATTGCCTCATCCAAAGGAAGAGATTACAATTTTTCAAGTGTAAATTCAACTTTAAGTTTCTAAATTCATTCATTCATTATAATACTTCATTCAAATATAACTAAATAGCACTTTAGTATAATTTAAATATTTCTCTATATTCCTTTTATTCAGTATCATCAAAGACTAAACATTTCTCACGTAAGAAATCTTAAGATAATTTTTCAAAATCTTCTGATATAAGAATCTCTTATAATTATGAAACTAGTTAATCATCTTGATCATCATTGTTATCTAAGTGTAAAGAATACATATACAATTTTCAAAAATGAGTTCATCATTCTCTATGTCAATGGCATTTTCGAGATTTTGGTTCATTTTATTTTAATTAAGATTTATAAATGTACTTTATGTGTATTATACTTATCACATTCATAGAGCTGGGAAATCTTTCTCATCCAATTGGATTCCTTTTTCCTACTCAAGTAATATTTTAAATTTACTTATTATCTTTATTATGGTTTCTTTTCTTATCTATCACCTCCTCTTCTATTTTTTTCACCCCTTTCTTAATCTCTATTGTTATTGTCTCCTTTGTATTATCTATCCCCCTTATATTATCTATCTCCTTTATATTATCTGTCTCCTCTATCTTATCTTTCTCTTCCTTCTTGATTGTCTCCTCTTTCTTAATTTTCTCCTCTGTCCTATCTATCTTCTCTGTCTTATCTATTTCCTCTGTCTTATCTATTTCCTCTGTCTTATCTGTCTCCTCTATCTTATCTATCTCCTCTGTCTTATCTATCACCTTTGTACTATCTATCACCTCTATATTATTTTTCTCCTCTATGTTATTTTTCTTCTCTATCTTATCTTTCTCCTTTTTATTATCCTTAATTTTATTATTCATCTTATCTTTCTCCTCTTTATACTTACTCTTCACCTTCTTATTGTTATTATTATGGTTGATCATATTATCTTCTTTAACCTCTTCTTTCATTCTTTTCTTGAGGTTAATTAGTAAATCCCAAGTACTCAGCAGCTTATGTATTCAATTCAGATCTGTATGTTTATTATTATTATCTTGTTTTTTTTTACTTTTAATCTTGTTCTCTTTTTTCATCTTCTCTTGTTTTAACAACAAAGAGTTTTTCCTTCTTCAAAGCTTCTTCATCAATTTTCTTTGGAGCTTATTATTTGACTTCAACCTATTTTAATACTTCATCAACATTCTGAATATAATATTTAAATTGATACAGCGCCTCTTTATTAGTAATAATCAGCAAGAGTCTTTTCTGGGGCTGGTGGTTAAACAGGTTGAGTTGTCTACCCAGTTTTGCCTTCTTATGGGGCATCAACTGTGTTTTTTTCTTTTGCTACATATTTTTCCTCCTTCTAGTCATCTTTGTAATTGCCCCAATTATTTCTACCTCCTCCTTCTTTTCGTTATTCTTTGCCTCTTCCAGTACCAGATTGTCTGTCTTTAGGATGTGGCTCAGCAACAACTCCCTTAGTCTTTGGAGCAGGATTGTGATGTTGAGTATTTTCTTTTACTACTTATTCAGCAGGGATAACCTACTCCTAATTGTTGTTTTTTTTATTCTTTTTTTGTGATTATTAGGGAGCTTCTTCAGTATCGGAGAAGTTGAGAACGTTGAACAAATTATTACTCATAAAGATTTAAAAAAATATTTAATGTTTTCATTTTAATTAACCTCACCAGGAGTTAAATTAATTTATTCAAATATAAAAAATGAGGATATTTTATCTATTAGCTTCTTTATGGACAATTTACTATTTGTAAAGATAACATGATGGAATTTTAAATTTAAACTAGACATTCAAAATATATTTATAATTGATATTAACAATATCATTTATGTTTATATAATAACCTTTGGTAATATGTCTTAATGTACTTAAGAGAAATGACCAAAGTAATATATTTTTAACTCATACTGACTTCATATTAATAAAAATATTTAGAGTTTATAAATAAGCATAATTATCTCTATCTTATTGAACAAATTAATAAATAAATTTATGGGTTGCTGCTAAAATCTTCCTTTAAAGGAAACTGAAACTATTGTAATGCCTTAATTAAGCATTAAATAAGAATTCTCTCCAAAAACTTTACAAATGGAGCCCTTCTCTTTAAATTTAATTAAAGGAGACATTGATTGTATAGAGAGGTTAGGCAGCACTTGTGCCGATAATATTTTAGGTGAAAAATAATAAAGTGGAGTGGAGAGATAATAAAGTGTATAGATAAAAGGAGAAGTCATAATTGATTTGAGGTAGGCTCCAAGTCCATCTTTGTTGAACAAGGATCGAAGCAGTAGAAATCTTAACAATAAATTTATCGGGATGCTATGATTTAAGTTTTAATTAAAATCTTTGAATTTAACACATATATATATATTAAAATATAATTATAGAACATTTCAATTTTCAACTCAAAAAATTGTTTTAACAACATGTCAAGGCTAAAGAAATTATTAATGAACAATAATAATTTAAGTATTTATTAATTTAATCATAAACTTGTAAAGTGTGTAAAATATTAAAAGAAAGAAGTAAAATAAAAGTGTGTGTTTCTAATAAATTATTAGAAATTTAAATAATATTATAGATGAAAGAAACAATAGAGTTTAAGTAACAAAATAAAAATCTAAATTTATTTGTAAAAATTTATATTATTTAATTGAACTCATATTGATAACAACAAAGATATAACACTTTTTATATGAATTTATTAATTATAATATAGTTTTTTTGTCAATAATAGATAAGTTATTCTCCACAATAGTCTTATATTCAATCCTAATTAAATTTTTAAATCAAATCAAAATCTTGTCTTAAGGAATGCATAATTATAACATCTTTGAAAATAAATAAAGGTAAATTGGAAGGGAATTTGTGAATGATTAATTGCAGAATCGATAACCCTAAAAATATTACAGTCTTTTAATGTTCTCAAATTTCCATCTAAAATATTGTTATTGATTAAATGTCAGGTATATATTTGACAAGTCTAACCCGAACAAAATTAAGTTAGAACATGAATAAAATGTTGATAGAAATGCTTTGATTATACTATTAATATAAATTATGCTTAAACTAAATTAACAGATACTTATAAGAAGTGCCCATGTGAATTGTAATTAACCTTTCTAATAATTAAATCATCAGGACTCCTATTCAAAAATACATATAATACCAAATAATAGAAAAAAATCATCAGAACATATACTTCAGAAATAAAACCATAAAGTTGAAATTCACTTTCAAGATAGAAAGAAACAGAATTCTATTCCAGATATTTTATATCTCTAATCTAACTTTATAAAATGTCATACTCATACTAATAATCAACTAGATAATAAGGATTATGAAATCTAATCGAAAAAACAAAAGACATTTCACAATTAAGATATTTCTCCAAAAAGAATAAGTTATGATGCATCACCTTTATAAAATATTGTTATAAATCGAAAAAGAAATTGTGTTAGTGAAAATAAAAAAGAATTATTCAATGAGAATGAATAATAAAAAAAACCTAAATAAAAGGTTCATAATCATTTACAGATATTTAATTAGGATTATGATTAACCATCAAATCGAATAACATTTTAAGCTTCAAACTATATTGATGATAGTAAACTAATTCTAAAATCAATTGAGACTCCAGGTACAGCTTAGTTTATGTAATCAAATAAAGATGATAATTTTGTATATCTCAATGAAAATATATAATAGAATATAGAATATGATTGCTATCCAGAATAATAAATATAATAACGTAAATTATCTTGTTAAGAAGATACTTTTATGCCTGTATAAAAAACAATTCCAACAAAAAAACCTTACTTTTAATCAAAAAAAGGAAATTAAGATCACTAAAGTATATTAGAGTGTAGAAAAATCATGACTATATTAGATAAATAGTAGGATCGAATATTTGAATCAATTGGACTAAATTCAAGTGAAATACAACATTCTCCAAGTAGTGATGGATTAAATAAAACTTTAAAGTTTGATGATCAAATCAAGAATAATTAAGAATCTAGATTTATATAATAATAAAAATTGATTTAATCAAAGAGAAATATTATTAAAGATGAAAATTAACCATATTGGAAATTAAGAGAAGTAAGTCAATGCAAAAAGAAAAGATGATAATTTAATTATTTATATATATATATTCTCTTTATATCTTATAGTAATCAGAGAATGCTACTTCTATTTGTATTTCCTTAATTTAATTTTAAATGGCCCTTTGTTTTTTCAAAGTGATCCTGAAAAACAAATGCTTCTTACAAAAGCATTTCAAGTTATACTTCTGTCCATTCTTTTGTAGGTAAATTCTATAAAAATATTACTGCTTCACTCATATTCTTTGATTTAATCTATTATATTTTATTAATTTACTTCAGGTGCACATTTAAGTATTAAGTTAGTTACTGTATATACATGTAAATTAGCCATCTCATCACCTTCAGCTAAATATGTATCCAATAATCTGATAGTTAAAGATAATGGAAATTCTCTTATTAATAGGCATAATACCCATCTAAAGGCAAAATGATTTAAGTCTATTTATTGATCTTCAAAATATTGATATAAAGGATAGTCAAGCTTAATTTTATTGATTAATTCTTACTATTTTGATCAATTCTCTAATTTTTACATATGCTTCTTAAACACCTGGTTAATTTGCTGTGAAATAATCTTAAATATTTTCAATTATTTTGCATAAACACCAATAAATATCAGCTTCAATATCAATCAAAATTTCTTCTGGTAATTTGTCAAAATTAGAAGGAACATCAAAAGAATTGAAATCTATTTGAACATATTCATTCAAGAATACTACAACTAAAGGTGATGCTACATCATTTATGCCCTAAACATAACCACTCATTGGATGTCTCATATTCCATATAAATAAGAGTCTCTTAAACATTTCTTATATTCTTGGATCTCTAAATAGTTTATAATCTGGTTAAGTTCTCAATACATCATTTTATATAATCTTTATGATTTTTCTTTCGTTTTCATCCCTTTCTTGTTCATTCATATGTTGATAATAATTCTTAATGTATTGTTAATAATCTTATCTTTTCTTTTACAAAATAGTTGTCTGACTCATGTGATTGGGAGGAATGTATTTTACTATTAATTTCCATACTTTTGCTCTATATTCTAGTTATATTTATCTAAAACAATACCATTAGGTATTCCTCTCCAAGTGAGTTTCTTAAGAGCTTCTAAATCAATTATTTGTTATTCTAGTATAAGTTCAAATTGCTCTAATTTTTTTTAATCTTGAATAGTTGAGGTAATTTATTTTTTTTGAAATGGCGATTTATTATAAATTTCATTTAAGTTAGTCTTATAGAGAGAACTTTAAGAATCTGTTTTTTATCCAAAAAATTTCTTTAAAAATGCCATTATTCAATTATATATTGAATTTATTAAAACAATGATTGCATCAATGATTTTTAATAAATTATCATATTTTTAACCATAAATTATAGGCAAAATTTCAGAATTGTTTTCATATTAGTTAAGATTTTAATAAATTAACAAAAATAGAATTAATAAAATTGATATGAACTTATTTATATTGTATATAAATTAGATCACAATGAGAAATAGAATGAATCTTCATTATTATATAAAAATTTGGTCAAATAAATTAGGAATATTGCATTAAGTTTTTTTCTAATTATTGAACAAGATTTCTATAATAATAGTAATAAAATAATACCCCATAGATTTATTATCTGCTTAATTAACAGACACTAAACTTCTATCTAGATTTTCATTTTCTTATTTAAGTTTTCTTTATAATTCTTATTATGCTTTTCTAACCAATTCCATTGAAAGTTTTTCTAATGATTTTTGTTCATTCAATTATTGATTATCTTTGATAACTTATTTAAATCTTAAATCTTTAAGTCTTTCTTATCTTTAAGAATTTTCAATTAAATCTTATTATTTAATTTTCAATTTCTCTTTCCTTATATTTTTTTAATAATCATATTCATCCTTTCTTTTATTACTCAATTAATCTTAATCTAAGAATTTTTTCTCTAGATTTGTAACACGTTATAATTATAATGATTAAATTCTATTTAAAGAATCTTAAGCTTTTTTACGTTTAGTAATTTCTTCTTTTATTTTAGCTTATTCATCCAATTATTTTTATTTTTCAAGAACTTAAATATATATATATATAAAATTATACTTTATAGTTCTTATTCTTAATTAAATAATTTTTCTACAACTTTTTAAATAGTTTCTGCTTCCTTTTGTTCTGTTTATAATTTAATTTTTCTTAATTTTTCATCATAATGAGAACTTCTCATAGTTAATTTTTCTAATTTACATTCCCATGTAAACTTTTCTTTATTTAAATTACTTTCATTTTCTATATAAAATAAAAATAATAGAATTACATTTTATTTATAAATTAGATAAAGTATGTGTCATTTTGTCTTCTAAAAATTTATCAAATTTTTTTTTATTTGCTTTAACTGTTTCAAATTTTTATCTTAATGCTTTTTCATGTTCTTCAATTTCTTTTTTCTTTATTTGTTCATCAAATTATAATTTTCTTCCTAATTCTTCAAATCTTTCTAATTATCTTTTTCTTTCATCAATTTATTTTAGATTAAATTATTTTTCTTTATTTTTTATTTCATTAAATTTCTTTTATGCTGCTTCTAATTTTTATTTTTTTTTTAATTATTTTTCTTTTTTAATCTTCTCATTTAATTCAGCAATCTTTTTTTCTCTATCTTCCATTTCTTATTACAATAAATGTCGTTTCTTTTCATTCTCTAATTAATGATGAATCTCTTTAGCCTTAACTCCAAGAGCTCTTTAATATTTTTTTATTTCTCTTTCCAATTATTCCTCTAAAACTAAAACTGGATCTTCTTCATCATAAGATTCATAAGAATTATCATTATCTTCTTCATCTATCTTAAGGTTAACCATCTTTTTATTGTAAGTTTCTATCAAATCATTGACTAAACTAAAAAATGTATATAAATCATTTGAAGATACCCCTCATCTCTATGAAATGATTTTTCTAATTAAATATTTTATAACCCTTTATTCTTTTTGGTGATTTGCTTTCTCTTTTAAGAAATCTCTTTGAATGTAACTTTCGATTAAGATGGAAAATATACTTTCCATTTTTTTTACATAATGATCATATCTCATTTTTTATATAGCTTCAGTTACATTGGGTCCACCAAATTCATCCAATTTTCTTAATATATTTATACTATTACTTAAGTTTAAATATTGAAGAATCATAACCCAAGGCTAAACATGCCTCTCTAGTTTTTGGGCTATCTGGTCTTATATTTAATCCCTTTTTTGTATAATTAAACATAGTGGCTCTTCTAGGTGCAGCAACTCTATTACTAAGTTAGAGTAATGCATTTTAGTTTAAATTCATATTAATTAATGTCTGAATCACCATTAATCACTCCATTATTACAACAATATCAAGTAGAATTGTAGGCAAAGTTGAATGAATGTTTTGAAAATAATGAAGTCAAGGGAATACTCCATTTAATAGATTAACTAGGACAAGATATAAAGGATGAGCCACAACTCTAAGATCTACTAAATCTACCATTATTGAGGAAATTAATGAAGCATCTCTCATCCACTAATCCTTAATAAGTAAGAAGTTCTATCATTATATTGGATGCAATAATGCAACGAAAAATAATAGCAAATAGACTTCTTCATCAAAGAGGTGCAGAAAGAACCATGGTGGATCTAGCTAATAGTTTATTGAACTTATAATAATAATTGCGGCATACTTCTTTAGAATTACATATTGATGATCTCCTAATTGGTTTATAAGTCAAATATGTTGAAAAGAAATAGTCAGACTTAAGTATATTGAAATTGGCCTTAAAATAATTCCAAGATAACAATAGTCTTTTCATTAAACAATTGCAAATAATCTTATCTTCTTGTGAAAGCATAATAGATTAATATTATCTATTTGGAGGTCCTCTGTAAGAACTCATTTATGAATATCTTTTGATGATAAGGTAGATGGAAGAAAAACAATAGGTTAACTTTTTGACTCAAGTTTTAGGCATATATGAAAGGTACATATTAGATGTACAATATACTATATAAGAAATGCAATAAAGAACTTACTATATAAAAATAGAGAAATAAATGATTTTGCATTAAATATCCAACATGTATAAAAGTTGTGCTCAACTCTTAAATATGATTCTAGTATTGCCAGAAGAAATTGGATTATAAAAGAGAACTTATCTAATGATAAAAGTTTTATATAGATACATTCCAGATTTGAGAATAGCTTTAATGGGACCATTATAATTGGTGATGCGTAATCTATCTTTGTTTTTACAAAAAGATGCTTAAGAATACAAAGAAATAACTATATTTTTGTATTAAATTATTCATTCATCAGATTATGATGAAAAATTTAAGTAATCTCTTCTTGATGATGAAGATCTTGCATATCTGAGAGAAAATAAGTAAATTATAATATTATATTCAATAGATATTTCTCTGTAAAAGCTCTGAGTTATGTAGATGAATCTTAAAGTGTTCCATCTTTGAGAAACTTAAATATTCAAGCAGCTTTCCCTTGTTATGCTATAATTTAAGCAGCATCTATATATTGTTATTCATTTATGGTTGATAAACCAAATTCATTAATATTTTGGAGTTTTAGAACATTAGATTACGATGTATCATTTGGATTATTCAAATTATAAACAATTGAAGATTTAGGAATTATAGATTATGTGAATGAAAGAAATGGAGTTAAATCATTGATCAAATTATAAAGGATTGAATCTCACAAATAGCCAATAATTGGAGTCACAGTTATATCTAATCCAGGACTTTATAGAATTATATTTGATAATAGTTATAGTTATCTTAGGTCCAAATAATTATTTTATAGTATACATTTGCTAGAAACTAAATGATGAATATTATATGTTTATTTTAGATGTTTTTGATATTCAAAATTGTAAATTAATAAATATATATTGGTACAGTAATTGTAATATATAATATATAGCTATTAATTTTAGTTTAAATTTAGATATCCCATCAAAATAATAATGATCATTATCCATCAAAATGTCTTCAAATTCAATAAATTGGACACACCATTTCCAGTTGGTATCCATGTAATATTTGGACTCTTAGCTAATTATTCAGCAATATGTTTAGCTGTCTCTAATTTCTTAATCTCAATTTAAGCTATTGATTAAATAAACATTTCTACCTGTTCCATATTATTTAACTGCATCATTAATCAATCTAGCTGCTTCTGATTCTCCTTCAGATAATATAATTTTTGCATTCTTTTCTTCTTCATCTCTCAATACTATGAATTTTTATCTTTCTGCTAATTATTATGCCACTTATTTTGCTTCTATAGCTTAAGCATATTCTTTCATAAATCCTAAATGAGTAATTGAAACATCATCTAAAACTATCTTAAATTCTTTGGCTCTTTCAATTAAACCTTCCTTAATTTCTTATGAAATCTTTTCTCTCATTTTTATTAATTGATCTGCATCATATTAAGCAACAACTGCTTTTAAGACTTCATTTGCAATAGATGGGAGAATCTTTTCTTCATAATTCAAACCAATTGTTCTTATCTATTAAAAAGAAACTTTACTTATAAATTTCAGGTAAATATGATTCAATAGGTTTATGAAGCATTCTAATTGCAATATCCACTGTTTATAAGTCCTTTGTACCAGTATGAGATGCCACTGTTTTAGGTTACAATCTAACCTCTGCAACAATTGGAGACTAACATATATTCTGACATTCATACTTAAATAACAGGAATAAAAAAATGCATTCCTTCTCCATATACTGTTTCCTTAACTCCTTGAAAACGATCAAATATTAATCCTCTTTAACCTCCATCTACTGTATAAAAGAATGATTGAAATAGTATTCCACCACCTACAAGTAAAGAACCTGCTGTTAATATTAGATTTGCAGCTCTTTCCATTTTTAATTATTAATTATGGATAAAAAAAACATCAATTAATCAATAAAATTTTGCAAAGTACAATTTCAGACAAATTAGGTATAATAAGTAAATCTATTTAAGAATATATTAAATTAAATAATATTACTCATAGAGTATAGGGTGTGAATTATTAAAAGATTATTAACTAGTTTTAAAATAGAGAAACTATTTAAACAAATTTATTCAATAACAAAATAGTTCAATAGATATATTTAAAATAAATTAAATTATTTCTAATTATAAATTTTATGATTTATTGTTTGTATATATTGATTCTCTATAATTATCTTTAATATATTTTGAAATTAATTGATATTGAATGACTAATCAATATTTAATTGTCATTAATTCATTTTGATTAATATTAATTATAATGATAATAAATATATATGAGTAATTAGTATGGCAATTCTATTTTAATTTTAGTCTTTTAAAAAATAAAAATATAGAAAACCTAATAATGAATTTTGAGAGATAGATGTTAAGACATTAAAAATTCTGATTAATAAAAAATATTTTATTATGGAAGGAAAGAAAGTTTTAGTAGTTGATGATGAACCCTTTGCTCAAAATTTATTGAAGATGCTTTATGCTGTTCTGAAGGTAGAGTGTACAGTAGTGGCTAATGGAAAGGAAGCATTGGAAGAATACCAAAAATCAGCTAATTTTGTTCACATACTCATGGATATTCATATGCCAATTATGGATGGATATGAAGTAACAGTTAAATTTAAATATTAGTCTACAAAATAAATTAGGCTTCATGAAAAAGCAAAAGGATTACCTAGATGCAAGATTCTTGGTCTCAGTGGAGGTAAATATCATTATAATATGTATAATAAGATGGTGATCCAAAAACAAAGGCAGCTTGTATTAATGCTGGTATGGATGATTTACTAGTTAAGCCATTAAAAAAGGAGTAATTGTAATAGTTTTTATGATATTAACACAACTTATTTTTAATGATTTTCTGCAGTTATTTAATATTAAAGTGTAAATGATAGAATGATAAGTGGAAACTGCTGTTAGGTAAAAGTTAAAACTTATGATATACATTTAGAAATTACATAACACCTATACTCTCTACTTAATGATTAATCATCTAATTAGGCAAATGTCCTTTTTAATTTGTTAAATTATTATTCAATTTTTAGATATTGTAATTATTTTTAGTAAAAATGTTTCTACATAATTATTTTTATATTCGATTAGATATACATAAATGGAAAATAAGGAACAGCAAAATGTTTTGGTAAAATTGATAATATATTATATCTATAGTGTGAAACCAAATAATAAGTATATGAAAACTACGTAGCCTTCCAAAATTTCTTCGAACAATTACCTAATCAAATTACAAGTAAATGATTCAAAAAAGAATGATAGGTCTTAAAAAGCAATATATTTTGGATGTGGCAACAGTCAATTCAAGATTTGTAATATTATGCTTAGGGGCTTTGAGCAGTGCAGCTCTGACAGCTAGAAGTATTAAGAATACAAAATTTAATAGTCTCTCCTTCTTTCATTAAAGTTACACGTAATACAGTGTTGACATATGTTGGAGCAGGTCTATTTGTTGTCCCTGAGGTGTTCAACCCGTACTTAATTTTTAGATAATGATTATTGTAGCACACACACAAATATAATTAATCAACATTCTTTTTTTGTAATACTTACCCATCACTTTTAAGTGTTCTCATTTCCTTATCTATATAATAGTATCTATTATAAGTGATATTATAGTGATATCTCTGCAGGCATTAAATCACTCTTTTTATATTAAATAGATTGATTAACATGTACATTAATTATATTTTTGGATCTGTCAAATAGCTTCATTACTTACAATAAATTATAAAATTTGAGTGATTATTTATAAGTACAATAGACAATAATGATCAATTACATGAATTCCAAAAAAATATTTACAAAAAATTATTAAAATAAGTAATCAATTTTTTAATCTGCAATATAATATATTGGATTAAATAGAAATAACACTTAGTATATGTGTATACTTTTAAGAATGTAATCATAATTCTAATTATATCATTTATTTTAATTAAGAAGTTTAAATATTAATCATTTAAAATCTGAGATATTTCTTTATTATTCTTAGATTATCATAATTATACTTTAATTTGATTATAGATACACAAAATCTTATATTCTTAATGAAAATATTTCATTAGATATTTGTTATAATAACAATTATTAATATATATCTCATCTTAATTTTTTTGGTTTATCAGAAATGTCAGAAATATTTAGTTCATTTTGCATTTAATATAGTTTATCTTCCATTCTTCCAATTACATTCTAAAATTTATTTAAAAATTCTTCTTAAAATTCTTTTTCTACTCTTTTACTGTCTTCTTAATCATCAAAATGAAAAC